ATATACTTCACTTTATTTTTAAATTTCCACACCCGCCACTGTTAAACTTTTGATTGTGCAATAATTTCAATTAAAATCACATATTACATATAGTTATTTAATTCATAGTGATATAAAATTTTTGTAATTATTTGGATATATTAAAGATTCAAAAAGGTCATTTTACTTAATGTTATTTATAATTGGTTATGAGACTATCTATATATCTCATTTTGGGACGCATGACATTTGAATTTTAACATACCTTTTGTAGTTTATTTCTTAGCACCAATATTTTGATATCTCTTTTTGGGAAGTATAATGTTTGATTTTTTACATGATTTTTAGAATTTTTTTAATTAAATGTCTTTATATGCCCCATGATTTTAAAAATACACGCGGACCAGGTGCATTTTTACTAGAATGAGATCATTTATCTTTGATACAAGGTGGTCACCTTAATCTTGACCATTGGATGTGAAATTGGGTGGCAATAAATATTCCATTGACTAAGCTCAAACTTCAAATTTCAAAACAAAATTTCTCTAACTTTGTGAAACATCCAATCTACAAAATTTCACATCAAATGATTGTAAAAAATTGTGTCCACCTTGTATCAAAGATAAATGGTCTCATTGTACATAATTCCATAACATAATCACAACTTTTTTGAAGAGATGTATAATAGAAATGATGAAATGGATGATGAGGAGCTATAAGGACAAATATACAAAGAGACCGTTGATTTTTAGGGTGTGGTGCACACTTCAAATAATGTCAAAATTATTGTTTTAGTATAAAAAAATCTTTGTGATTGCCTAAAAATTTATTTTCATCTCTAACTATAAAATTTAAAGGTTAAAGATGATTCAAAAAGTAAAGGTGTAACCCTTACAAATTAAAAATTATACAAAAGTACAAAATTTAGAAAATTAAATTTGTGATTACATTATAATCAAATTAAACAAATAAATAAATATCATACTTGCAAAGTGGGATAATTGACAATACAATTTTAAAATATATTTTAAAGTGGTTTGGACTAGTGTTATTTTTCTCTCTTTAAAATATCCCATAAATTAGTAATTTTTTTAATGACCAATAAATTAGTATTAATATTATTTTTTGTTGTTCTAATATCTTATAAGTTACTACTTCTGTTTTTTTAATCCTATATTAACCAATAGTTTAATGTTTAATATCTAATAGAGGAGTGACTTTTTATATAAAAAAACTTAATTTTAATTTTAATTTTAATAAAGACTTTATTAACACCGGCCGGCGAAAAGACAATTGACAAAAACATTTGTCCCGTATCCAAAATGGTGTGGGAGCAGCTTAACATAGAGAAGTTGTTTTGTCGTCACGTGAGAACGGTGATGTTATGTGTTTTCGTTGACCCGCGTGTTTGCTGGTCGTAAAAGACTGATGGTGACGTCAGGGATCATATTAGGCCGTTTAATAAAACAAAGCAGAACCGCATGAACCATCCGGATCATTAATAAAACGGACACATGATGGGTTAAGATGATCACACTTATTTAGAGCCTCACACTTTTTTTCCTACACTTTTTTTCCTAGTATTAACGGTGTGGTTTGTATAAGGCCGAGGCTTTAAACAATCAACGTAAGGCGCACCTTTTGAAAGATGTTTCAATACTCGAAATCTTTGTGATGGTCTCAAAATTTATTTTCATGTCTAACTATAAAATTTATTTTCAAAAGTAGTGTTGCTCGAGCAGATCTATGAACATTTGAAAATATTGAAAATTAACGGTCTGAAATTGCATTACAAGATGCATTGTTTCTAATACTTGAAATCATTTTTTCTCATGTCTATACATCTTGAGGTGGAGATGATCAATTTGAGGATTTTTAGCTTCAAAATAACATCTTTCAATGAATTTTGAGGTGCGCCCTAAATTTAATTGGTTATAGTCTCAGGCTAATAAAAACTTTTTCTTATTTTTAATATAGAAAAATTGTATATAATGTTGCGACGTTAAAATGCCAAATTAAGGTGCACCTGAAAAATCCATCAAAATAGTTATTTTGATGTTGGAAAATATTCTAATTGATCATCTCAACATCAA